GATGAAAAATGTGAGCGACGTCAACAACTGACCTGTATCCGCATCGTTTCTTCGGCTAGAACGTCTCCACTGTTGAAGATTAATGACCGAGTTGATCTGACTTCGTACGCAATTTATACCCCATTAATTTCCATTCTTATAAAATCGGAACAAGCCGATTTATCTTGTTAATACGTGGTTTCTGATTATTGTCGTTAAAATAAATTAAACAAGATGAAAGAGTCAGGAGTGATGGTTGCATTACGGAGGGTGTGCGGAAACGCGTTTTTCATTTAAAACTCTTAACTGTTTTAAATGTAGCAAGGGTAAAATAACTCAGGGAAAAATGATTCTTTATTCAGTAAAAACTCATTTTCTTAGTATCAATAGAACCTCCGTTGCTCAACACAGTTAAAAAGTAATTTTAAACTTCATGCATTTTAAAGTAATCCTTCCCTATTGTCTTAAATAAAAAATCCATCTGTTTGGAACAATTTTAAAAAACCTTTAAGCCATACTTCAGTGTCGGACAATACACTCAAAAAAGGATATGACAATTAGATAAGAATTTGTAACTGGTTGGCCTGTTTATAACCAAATATAATTTCAATTTCAATCTTTGTGTAAGGTATTGGTTGAGATAAAAAAGTCAGTGTCACGAGCGGGATTCGAACCCACGACCTTCGGCTAAATACGCCGCTGCTCAACCACTTGACCTATCGTGACTTCGATCCACTCGGACACCAACCTCCCATCTCAACCCAACCTTTCGAATTTTCCCTCCTGTTTGCCATTTTTCAAATATCGGGTAATCTATTCGATTCTCGACGACAAATGAAATGGCCACGGAGAGCTTTAGTGAAGATATACTTCATTTAACCTATTAAATCCATCAGATTTCGTGGTCCGATTGACCAAACATCATCTTTCAATTAATTAATCTTTACGTAAGGTATTGAGTGAGATAAAAAAGTAAGTTTGAGATGGGAAGTTAGTGTTCGAATGGATCGAAGTCACGATAGCTCAAGTGGTAGAGCAGCGGCGCATTTAGCCGAAAGTCGGGGGTTCGAATCCCGCTCGTGACACTGACTTTTTTATCTAACCAATACCTTACATAAAGATTAATTAATTGAAAGATATTATTTGGTCAATCGGACCATGAATTGTAATGGATATAATTTTAATCTAAGGTCTTGGTTGAGATGAAAAATTCCCCTAAATATAACACAACAAAAACAACTCAAAATCAATTTATTTTGAAATTTTATGATAACACGAATTGAACTCAGCGTTTTTGACCAATGGAACTTAACCGTAAACCTGGAGAAATCAAAAATTTCAATTTTTAGAAAAGGTGATAGGCTGGGTCAGAGAGTTGGAGTTACAATGGCAAGAAGATAGATGTAAATAATTACAATTATCTAGGTTGTACCTAGGTCTTTCGTCGACATTGTCTTGTACGGATCATCTACAACGGAAAGCAGCGCTTGCTAAGCTTGCAGTAAATAGAGTTTGGAATCTGTTCACCCAGGACTTAGAACAGTTTTCAGCAAAGTTCAAATTGTATAACAGCGTTTGTCGTTGTATCTTGTGCTATGCTTTCCAGATCTGGGAGTTCCAAAGATAACGAGATGTTTTATTAAAAAGCTCTTCTTTCTTCCGGACCCTACACCGTCACATATGTCGTTGTTAGAGACTGGGACTGATCTATTTATTTTGGCTTTAAAACTCCACTTCTCATTTGTTCTCAAACGAATGTCCTCGGCATCCTCGCCTCTATCCAAAATTACAGCCAAAGCCGTGATGAACAGGAATTGTTATTGGTTTTCCAAATGGAACAAGTTGGCACATGATTATGGTTGTCCTTCCACGTTGATAAGCGAAAATATAAATGACTGGAGAGGATTATCCTCCTAAGCAGAATTAGGGAAATCCATTATGAGAGTTTCCTAAGGAAAGCATCATTATCCACCCGTTTTCTTCTTTATAGAGATTTGGACCATTTGTCGTGTCACTTCGATCCACTAAGTGAGCAAACAAACCTTTTTCGCTTCTCCGAGATGCGATGGTTTTTAAAAATGCGTAGCGAGCAAATATACCTCAATTTTGTACCTTGGAAACCTAATGTTATCGAATTGTGTTCCTTATGCAACTCAAAAATAAAGGAAGATGTTTTCACTTTGTGGCTGAGTGCTCGATACAGAATATCGCCTTCTGCATCTGGGTATTCCTAGCCTTTCCCGAGTTGTATTTGTCCAGACCTTAAACGAAATAAGGAATTGTAAAGCCCTTGCATACTTGCATGGCAATTGTTGACGCCCAAGAAGCTTCATTTTTTGAGTATTTCGGCTGACCAAGTTTCGCCTCGGGAGGACCTGTTAAAATCGCTGAGGGCCCTATTGTTTTTATTTTGGCAAACGATAACGCCGGTAGCTTCGGCCTTTGCACGGGAGTAAATTAGTCTCTCGCTTGCCTGGGTCAGCACAAGACGTTTGCCGAATCATTTATCGAACCTAATATCGATTTTCTTTGGACCTTCACCATCGATTTCTTCTGTTCAACACCTTGTCGTCACATCACCGACCTTACGGTCTACGTCAACTATTTCGTCATCCGGCTCTACAGGCACCTTCGTCGAAGTGGAACCCAGCAGTAACCTCCATCTCAACACCGCTTATTTCGATTGCTGGGAGAAGCGAGGAGTCATCCCACCAAGTACCTTTTAATTATTTTTTTTGTCTTTTGTAGTTTAAAACCCTGGCCAGTAGGTTTGATTATGAATTATTTTGGATAATTAAAGAAATTTCTTTTAATTTTTTGCTTAGTGTAAATAAATTGTAAATATTCAATTTTTACTTTAAAGTATTATCAATCTCCTCTTTCTTTTTCCCAAAACCTCTTAAGTATAATATATAGTTGCCACCTTTTTTAAAAGAGAAAAAAACTCAACAAAATTTAATTGTACTGTAAACGGGTACGGAAGTTTGCAGGGTCAATTAAGATCCGCCCTTCCCCCCAACAGCAATATAGGTATCAATTGATTCAGCAGTTCAATTGGTGAGAGCTTTTCAAGGAAACAAAAAAAAAGGAAAAAGTAAATATATAATTGTATGTACATTTTTGAATGTCCAGAATATGAAAATGAAAGAGACAAACTGCTAAAAAATCTGAGCAAAGTCCCAAATATTTCAAAACCAATAAACTTAGAATCTGTCCTAATAACCAACAACCCATCAGCTTTCAACACAATCTATGGATTTCTAAAGTCCATAAACGTTTCTTTTTGATTATCTTCAAGCATGAAAATTTAGAAGATGAGAAGACGATGGAGCTGAATGAGTGGTGCGGGCGCGCGGCGCGGAACTGGCCCTGGTCGGCCGATCACGCTCGACAGTAAAATGAAAATAGAAGAAAACTTAATGGGTAATATGCCAGCGTAAACCCCCCCAAAAAAATGTATCTATATAAAATGAATACTACTAGGCAGTATTAAGTGGTAATTTTCTTTTGATATTTTTTTTTCACTTTTATTTCTTATTTTAGTTAACACCCGACAGACTGTTTGTTATCCATGTAGTACTGTACTTTTTCTATTTATCTGTTTATTGTATAAAATATTTAAACAAATTTAAATATATATTCTCCTTGAATCGATCACTTTATACGGCCTATTCTCAGTAGTTCACGGTTGAATACGCGTTATATGGTATGTAATATTAATAAATATTTTCATTTATTTCATATTTTACAATTAATTAAGGTTTTTAGTTGAGATGAAAAAAAAAGTTAATGGCACGAGAAGGATTCGAACCCACGACGATACGCCGCTGCTCTACCACCTGGGGATTGACTATCCAAAGATTAATTTACAAAATTCAATTGTAAACACAAGTGGAAGATTTTATCTGTATTTTATTTAACTCTAATCCTTTAAAACAGACCCAATATTGTGTGAGATAATCAGTGGAGGATTGCCTGAGCGATAATTAAAAATATTAACGATATTTATTATTTTTTACTTCTGAGTGTATTTTCACAAGAAATGTCATACCATAAGGTTTTTATTATGTTTTCGGGATTCGAATCACGAATATCGAACCTTATCCTAATGTCGATTTAGCCAAAGGTCGTGGGTTCGAATGCCGCACTTGACAGTAATTATTCATCTCAACCAAAACACTTAGATGAAAAGAAAAATTAATTGGAATAATTGATATAGTTTTATATAATAAAACATAATAAAAAAAACTTATGGTATGACATTTCTTACGTTTTGATTGTACGAATTATATTAATAAATAACTGACAATTAATTAAGGTTTTTAGTTGAGATGAAAAAAAGTTAATGGCACGAGAGGGATTCGAACCCACGACCTTCGGCTAGATACGCCGCTGCTCTACCACTTGAGCTATCGTAACCTCGATCCACTCGGACATCAACTCCCCATCTCAACCCGACCTTATGAGTTTTCGATTATGAGTTCGAATCCCTCTCGTGCCATTAACTTTTTTTCATCTCAACTAAAAACCTTAATTAATTGTAAAATATTAATTGGTCAAGCGGACCACGAAATTAGGGAATTATTTCATATTGTTGAAAATTACTTCATTTCGTTTAAAAACACGAAAAAATTTATTGAACTTTACAGGTATGTGCAATCCCTACATAACATAATAATACGTACATAGTTATAATGTTATAAATAGGGAACCAGTTTGTTTTTCATTTAAGGCTTTCAGTTAGAAACAATATGGCTAAATTAATTATCCAACCGCATAAACCGGATTTTAGTATGGCTTGTTGTAAGTAGGGTTGAGCCGTCAGTTAGATCAGTTAAGACCAAACTTCTGGCACATCACCCATTCGCGGATACACAACACTACATCGTAATTCAATTAAATTCTAAGGGTAACCAGCGTTAGTAAATTCTCCATTGTCGTCTAAACGTTTAGTATACGGCAACGCCCAATTATTCATGTATCGTAGCAAGACTGTTGGAAATTTGTTTTGTTTGTTTCAGGCGACGTACGAAATACCAGGGATAAGCAGACACCATCCCAGGAAGGCAGTTAGGATCGAAAAGCTCGTTTTTTATAATCACACCGAGTGCGAATGCATGGACAGGGGAGATGAGATGCCGAGAGACACGGACACGAAAAATGCATTGGGCCAACCGAGATCAAATCACATTCCACAGTAAGCAGATTAGAATTTTTCAAAATAAAATAAAAAAATAAAAACTCTAACTGATCCGTTTTACAGGTGTAAATGCCCGAGCCAATTTTCAGTTCGTATCCACTCAAACGGATCATGTTCTTGCGACTGCTTCGACAAACAGAGGGATTGCACTAAGTACAAGAAAGGGAAGGAATACTTCGTCCATGCAGACCGTCTGTAAGTGCTATTAAGAAAATCAAGTTGTCTTTGAAAAAACGGTATTTATAGTAGTGACATTTTCTCTTGGTCTCTGAGGATTGATGAGCATGCTGTTAACCCATCATCAAGTTCTTACTATATTCTTAATTACATATCCCGAATCGGCTTTGCCTCTCTGAAAACACAAAACTACAATACGCCCTTAACCACGCTCACAAATACATGAAACATATATTGAAAACGATTCTATTTGTGTGTAGTACCATGTTCTCTCTCACTGTGAGTGGTCCATCTTCAAAGAAAAGAGGTCTTCCACCAAAATCCCCTCAAACCAAATTTTTCAAGAAACAATCTGTCAAAGAGCTTTCCCTGGCCTCAACCTTACGCCAGAAACCTATTCAGGAATTCTCTCTCACTCCCTCCCTCACTGTCTCTCTCTTTTTCTCTCTCTCCCTCCCTCTCTCCCACTCTCACTCGCTCTCTTTCTCTCCCACTAACTCACTCTCGCCCCCTTTCTCTCTCACTCACTCTTTTCTCTCACTCTCTCTCGCCCTCCCTCACTGTCTCTCTCTTTCTCTCTTTCTCCCTCACTCTCTCGCCCACCCTCTCTCACTCTTTCTCTCTCACTCACTCACTCTCTTGCTGTATCTCTTCTCTCTTTCTCTCTCTCTCTCTCTCTTTCCCTCTCTCTCTCTTTCTCTCTCTCTCTCTCTCTCTCTCGCCCTCCTTCATTGCCTCTCTCTTTTTCTCTCACTCACTCTCTCGCTCTCCCCCTTTCTCTCTCACTCACTCTCAGTTTCTCTCCATGTCTCTCTCTTTCTCTCTCTCGCCCTCCCTCACTGTCTCTCTCTTTTTCTCTCACTCACTCTCTCTCTCTCTCACTCATTATCTCTCTCTCTCTTTCTCTCTCCCTCCCTCACTGTCTGTCTCTTTTTCTCTCACTCACTCTCTCGCTCTCGCCCTTTCTCTCTCTCACTCTCTCTCGCCCTCTTTCTCTCCCACTCACTCACTCTCGCCCCCTTTCTCTCTCACTCTCTCTCTCCCTCTCTCTCTCTCTCTCTCTCTCTCTCTCTCTCTTATCTATCTAGCTCAGTATTTGCATCTGTTTATCTATCTATGTATCTACCAATTTGCTTTCTATATGTCTATATATCTCCCTCTCAAAACTGCTAGTAATTCATTGCGGAAACCGAAATGAAAGTAAATTTGGTATGTAATATATTATATTATCTATCATTGCTAGACATTACGCTATGTGAAAAAGGAAAAATTCTGACATCAATGATTTATCAACTAGATTGTCATTAAAAATGACTATACCTTTCAAGACAATTTTCTTTATTGTGCGGATTTCAATTATGAAAAATTATGTATGTATAGAGTAAAACGTATTCAGTGATGTATATAAAATTCATAGGGTGTTTATTTTTCAAATTTTCAGGTTGTGTTCATGAATCAATTTTTTGAAATGTGGCACCATGTCTACTACAATTGTTCTATCTTTTATTAAAAAGAAAAATAGCATTCTTAGTAATTTTAAAATTCATCTTAGTTCTTTTACTGGTTCATTTCTCAAATGTGATTAAATTGTAAGAAAGTAAGCCGATATTCATTATTAGGTATCAATTAGGCTATCAATGTAAATTGGTGCATAAAATATGTACTGGCCACGCGTGAGTTTTGGTATCAAGAATATACGTTGTTTGGAATAAAATAGATTTTCTTAAATATATATAATATATTTATATAAACATACCAATGTCTATAAAAAATAAATTATATTTTTTCAGATGCATAGAAATGCGGACATGTACTGTTCCAACCTGCGATTTCGGCACTTTCATTCGCAGATCAGGGAGATGCCCGAGGAAGCACGAAAAGTACCGTTCATGGGAGCGATACAAAATATAAGCAAAAAATTAAATCAAAAATGATAAAAACCCGTATGAAATACCAGTGATTTTTTAAATTTGTATAACAAGTGATTTCAAAGAGAGGCATTTATCAAATGACCTTGTGTTACTTGTCTAATATTTGTCAAAAAACAAAATTAATTTAATTTTTTTTTTCACCCATTTTATTTTGGATTTTTTGACTATACACAATGAAACAATTGCTTGATTCAGGTTGATTAAATTGCAGTTCGATTTTTAGACAATTTTTTTTCCAGTGTGTAAAATAAATGTACATAATAGTTTTCTTTTCTCGCTCACTATTGATTTGCGTTGAATCTGATTTATATTATAAAAATGTATCTTTAAAAAAATGAAAATAAGTAAAAAATTGCCATTAGATTAAAACAAATAAAATAGAATTTGGCCAAAAATTTTAATGACAATATGGCAATTTTTCACTTCTTTAAGCATTTTGTCTCCGTCAGAGATAAGACGATGAATTCTGTGTGATATATTTTTTATTTTAACTTTATTTTATAATTTAAATTTTTTGTGTATATGAAAATAGGTTCGAGTGTAAATCTTATCAATGAACTTATGTATGTATATATTTTAAAAAATTGACTGCATATTTCGAAATTTTAATAGAAAAAAAATTTACTTCTGAAGTACAAACATACTTTAAACAGATTATTATATACATAATGATGTATATAATAATGTGTATGAAATAGTAATGTGTAAGGAAATTTTCAAATAATGCAAATTTTGAATTTTTTAAAAATCAGAAAGACTAATTCCATATCCAAATGGTTATCAGAAAATTGCTCATCAATAATAACCCCATCTGACTTAATAAAATTTATAATCAACTTATTTTCATTAAACAAACATTATTTTAAATAGTTGAAAAACGAATTTCAACATGTTCTATTATCAAAATAACGAATAATATCGAAGTTATGGACCATAGAAATGTCTATTTAAAATATAGACAATTTATCTATAAGGAGATTTAATTGTAAAAAAAAATAATAACAACATTCCTAGGCATGTGTACTCGTTGTTTTGTTTAAAATTCAATCTGAAATCAACTCTGTTTAAATAAAACATAGCTCATGACTACATCTTTGTTGAATATTGAATCTGGGCAACCAAATTATCGTTATTGACTCAAATGCCAAGATGAATAAAAATAATGATACACTTATCTAATCGTTAACTTCTTTGCATTTAAATATTAACCTCAGGTATTATAGGTTCATGTAGAGTATTATCGAGTTGTTTGTCACTTAGGGTCAGTCTTTGTAGAAATTTGTTTTAGATTAGAGACGAGCACCAAAAATGAAGATTTAGATTTAACGCCATGTAATCTTAATTCGTTAAGTGTTTCAAGTACGTTAACTGTAATCTCAATCCTTTAATAATTGCTTAGAGTAGTTAATTAACAATTCAATACTAGAGAATCTTGTAGCCATGTATAATTGTGTATATTTAGCTAAATTATTGAAAGAAAAAAAAGTTTTTTTGACAGACCTGTCCAGCAGGGGACATTTTGTAAATTATTAGTTATATGTAAGAAGTATCACGTTAATAAAACGTATAACTTTGAATATAAGATTTGAATGTTTTAAATGACTAACTAATTTGGATCAAAACTACACATATTATTAAAAAAAAGTAAATGATAAAGACCACTTAATTATGTAATATCAAATAAGTTATCCCTCATAATACCGTATGGACCATTGTTTGTATTTGTGCCAATAATGTAATAAAATAAGTTATATAGTTTCATTGTATTTTGATTTACACCACGATTGAATTGCCATTGAAAAAGACTAAACTTCGCTTTTGGAATTCACACAAGGTATGATTAATTAACAATTTATATTATTTAATTTATTTTTAATCTAAAATAATTTTTCTTTTAATTAAACTAATTACTATTATATAAAACGTATTATATTGTATGTAATAATAAACTTTTTTCATTTTAAACGTCCTTATATTGACCGAAATAATTTAATATATGAAGGATAAGGTTGACTTATTTTATATGTAATAATTTTGCAATTTATTTTTATATTATTTTTTTGTGTCTGTAAAAATGACTATCGATGCGAATTTTTTTTTACTGGCTATATGGACAGTTCTGAACATGAGACAGAGGGTGGAGATTTTACATTAAAACTTGTTCGTTAGGACAAAGTTATCGACATACACAAAGTCCTCCGGGTGGAAGGACATAACGAACCAGTCCGATTGTATCCAGGTAGTAACCCCTAAAAAACTACAATCTTCTAAGAATCTCATAATTTCTATGATCATGGTTATTTTAGGCGAAAAAAATTCGCATCAATCATTATTTTAAACGAATTTAGTACGTCTCACAGTCCAGCCAATGTAATTGAAACGTTCAATTGAAGTTCCACAATACTAATGAATTTAGTAACTAGTAATTAAATTTACACGGGAACCACCAAACCAGGTTACCAATTTCTTCCTTCACTTTGCGAAGTTCGTTCCTGGCATAAACTGATGTGGGAAAACGACCAGCTAACAATTTATCTCAATTGTGTTTTTTATATTTCTCTCTCTCTCTCTCTCTCTCTCTCTCTCTCTCTCTCTCACTCTCTCTCCGTTCGTGAGTGTGCGTGTGCATATAGAAAATTATTAAGAAGATTTAATTTCTTCAACGATATAAGAACCACAAAAAAAGCAAATCGTTATAATTCAAGAACAAGATATAGACAAAAACGTTAAATACTCAAACAAATTTTATCATAAAAGTGAGATTTGGTTTGACATCTGAAGTGATTGCCTATCCTCACTCGCTCTTTTATACTTTCAGGTTCTTGTCCGTTCGACAGGAAATGGTAAAAATTAATTTCGGTGTCTTTTAAGGATTAAGTTTGCTGGCTTTTCATTTGTTCCAGTGACACTTTTCTTTTTTAATAAAATTTAAATGGTGTAAAGGAGGGAAAGTACAGTGTAGTCGATTTGAACATCCACGAGTTGCTTCGTGCCGCCTGCATTAAGTGTGTGTGTGTGTGTGTGTGTGTGTGTGTGTGTGTGTGTGTGTGTGTGTGTGTGTGTGTGTGTGTGGAGAGGGCTCGAGCAGCTGGTTTGGATGGTTCGAAACGTTGGTGTGAAAGGTTTGGAATCTGGACGGGATCAGTTGACAAAAGGAATATTGATGTGTNGCGCGCGCGCGTGCGTGTGTGCGTGTGTGTGAGAGAGAGAGAGAGAGAGAGAGAGAGAGAGAGAGAGTGAGTGAGTGAGAGACAGAAAGAGAGAGAGTAAAAAACAAATAGATGTAGGATGTGGATAAAAGTGAATTTATACAATGCAAAAAATGCACTGGCACTCTCAACACGACACGCAAGAATGGCACACTTACAAACACTTTGAGTGAGTAGAAATTCTTTGATTGAATATAAAAAAGATATTTTTTGCATTGCATAAATTCACTTTTTTCCACATCCCACATGTATTTGTTAAATTTAAACAATGCTTGCAAATCCCAGGCGCTGAAGATGTTCTCAATAAATATCGAAACGTTGGCACGATAAAGAAAATGTTTTACGGAAACCTACATGACACCGGACCGCATATCACTATTTCTGAATAATAACTTAAAAACTGTTACTTCAATTAAAAAATAATTAGTAAAAATACATAAATTTCTAAATGTTCTTTGATGAAGTACGTTTTTTTTATTAATATGTAAATATTGTGATACTTTTTCCTTTCCTAATGAGTATGAGACGTGTTAACATGTTAGGCCAAAGTGGGTGACTGTACCACCCATGTAATCATCAACAAACCCAATTTTGTAATTATCCACAAATTCGATTGTAATTCTTCAAGGTTGAAATTGGCCGGTTTAATTAAAGTCACTCATCTGTCAAAGCTGGAGGAGGCGCAAGTTAGCACTTATAAACGCTGGAGAGATTAACCCCGCTATTAAGAATTTAGCCATGCGGGAAAAAGCCTTTTTCTCAAAATTTTTGTAAAATACAATTGGCACTTTCACAAGCACGTTTTACACTTCTAGTACTCAATTTTTCAAAATTTCAAAAACAAATAAGATTATTAAAGAATACATATAATTAAAATTTAAAATATGATATAATTGATTTTGATTTCTTGTTTAGCACCTATTTCATAGATAATTTATGAAAATTAAACGTCCAAAAAAGTTTAAAATGCGTATAACTTTTAAACTAAAAAACTTTTAGAACTCATTTATGAAATTCTAGAAATGGTACATGAGAATTTATTTTCATTTCGGAAATTTCAAGTGTTTTTACAAAATTGGGAAGAAAACATTTATTTTTTTATATATTTTATAAACAATTGTAATCATAATAAGATAACTTCGTAAAGGGTCAGCTTAGCTGAGCTTAGAGTTTTAATGACAATAACATTAAGTCAAAAAAAGTCCTCTGGGAAAGAATCCTTACCCTACATACTCTTTTTTTCTGGCTGTTCTCTGGTTATTCTCTGATTCTACTGCAAACAATCTCCTCAATCCTATTATTTTATCATTTTTTAAATTTGTATTATTGAAAAAATAAAAAGTTTGGTTAAAAACGGGATTTCTTGAGTGGTGATCGTACCCAATATGTAAATGAAAGAAAAGTGTTACGATTTTCATAAGATGCTGACAAATCAACAGTTTAAGTACGTTTAGAATACAGTAAAGTTGTGTTAATTCTGTTAAAAATAATAATAAAACAATGTTTCGAACGGTTTCTTTAATTGGTGGCCAAGAATTGTCAAGCCTTCTACAGTTTTGATTAAAAGAGATCAACTTGCAGGGAGCGAGGGCGACATGCAGCAACTTGATTTTTCAGGCTATCAGCACTCCTCGCCTTTGTCGTGAGGGCAAGCCAACTGGTATAGGAACTGGACCAAAGTCCTTACTGGACGGCCCGACATAAGTCCCTTTTTCAAGTACGGATATCCAACACCGTTCGAGATCAGGCCCGTGCCCGTGATGTCTAAGTGGAGGAAATCCACCGAAGGAGCGAACTCCTATAGAAAAGAAATATTTTAATTTTTGACGTACGTCGTTTTTGGTTTAAATTTACCAGCAAAAAGGCGGCTCCGAGGCAAGGACCTCCGCCTCCTCCCATGCCAACGTTGTTGACGTCCACATCGACATAATCTAAAAACAAACAATTTCAATTGCGTATTTATTATTATTTTCCAAATAATCAACACTCACTGGTAACTAAGTTGGAATAATATTTCCAAAACGGGAACCTCCAAACCCTGTCTCCAGTTTCCGATCCGGCCCTGTTCAACTCCCTCCAGACTGCATCTGAAGTTGAAAAAACGCCGCTTGCCGATCCTCCGAGACCACTTCTTATACCAGCTGAAAATAATAACGAAATTATTTTATAAAAATTGAATTTAAAACGCCTGATAAGAAGAGTGTAGTGGTATAAGTTGGTTCAATGGAGACATAACCTAGCACGGGAAACAAAACCGAAAGAATGAAATTGTGCAGCGACAGTCAATGACCTAACAATTCTGAGAAGAAGGATTGAGACAAATACATTGAACTAGGGAACCAAGAAGGTACAATAAACCAGATGGCTGTAGTGCCTGGAGAACCCAAACTGCGCTTCCTTGTATCTTCCATCCATCACCATTGCCAACATCATCATGGATCGATGCGAAATTCTTAGCTGTTTAAAACATTACCAAAATTTCATGCACAGTGTTCTCATGGGTTATCATAAACACATATTTTTTGTAACATTGCATTTGTTTGTTTAATTGGAATGTATGAATCCATTTTAATCAAATATCCTTGTAACAAAATGTATTAATGATATTACTGGTATTACCATGCCCATTCACACAAAAACAATCCCGGAGTAGGTTAATAGTAGTTCACTAATTTCGTGGTCCGCTTGACCAATTAAATCATTACAATTAATTAAGGTTTTTAGTTGAGATGAAAAAAAGTTAATGGAACAAGCGGGATCCGAACCCACGATCTTCGGCTAGATACGCCGCTGCTCAACCACTTGAGCTATTGTGACCTCGATCCACTCGGACATCAACTTCCTATCTCAAAAAATCTCTCCTTGAAAAATGGCAAAAAGGAGGGAAAACTCATAAGGTGGGGTTGAGATAGGAAGTTGATGTCCGAGTGGATCGAGGTCACGATAGCTCAAGTGGTAGAGCAACGGCGTACCTAGCCAAAGATCGTGGGTTCGTATCCCGCTCGTGCCATTAACTTATTTTCATCTCAACTAAAAACCTTAATTAATTGTAATGAGTTAATAGTAGTGTCTATTTCTTTAATCAATATCGAAATACCTGGTATGCAAAGGTCTCCTACCCACAGGGGCCACCTTAATTTCTCCAAAAATTTCACGTTTTCAACAAACTAGCTACCCTAAAATTCAGTTAAAAATTAAGCAGATTTACCGGGAAAAGTTTGCAAAATGCGTTGTCTGGCCCTGAAAACAAGCGGGTTAAAATAAAATAAAAAATTAGGCTATTCAAACATTTATTGAACTTTAAATAGAAGTAGCCAGTTCTATTCAAGGGATTTTGATTGTTGGAAGGTAAATGTATAGGTAAGCACATGTAAGGAAAATATTTTTTAAACTAAACTTCGAACCGGCAGAGATATTTAAATCTCGATCTTTAAAAAAATCTCACACAGGGTTCGATAAAATGGACTTAAAAAAAAAAGAATGTCCAACAATGAACAGAATCCGTAGCAACCGTACGTTCTGTGGAACATTCCTGTCAGAATAAATCAACATTGTTCAGATTTATGCATATGTTGCAACACCAAGGAAGATATGCACATCGTAATGAACTGTCCCTCTTACTATGATCAAATGGAAGAAATGTTAAACCGGATCCATAGTTTACGTTATGGGGACAAACCAATAAATTATAAATATTTATTAACCTTGAACGACCCCGTAGCATATAGAAAATTTTTGGTTTTGTATTTAAATGTAGTTTAGATATTTAAATTTATTAAATAAATTATGTATATAAATCAAATTTGTTGCTATTGTTATTATTTATTTTTATATTTAGACATGTATAAAGCCCATTTCCTGAAGGTATACACAGCTCCGCTGCCAATTGCGAAAGGAAAGGAAAAAAGGGTTCTTCGTTTAGACAGGTAACGCACCTACCAAAACATCGCGAGCACCAAAAAATGATTTAATGCTGCGTGTTTGTCTGTGCGTCGATAAACTCATGCTTAACCGGCATTGTAACCGTCTTCACTCGCGGGTTTGTTAACTGCTCAGTAGTTCCTACTGAAGATGGCACACTGCGGAAACGCGCAGTCATAGAAATGTTGTTTTTTACGTTTTTCTAGATATTGCGATATAATTCCAATGTCTGTTGCTGGACAGTTCATACAATTAATTTTATAAATTACATTGAATTTATACGCTGTTGGTGTTGGATCTTTGACTTAGGAAAAAAGTGTGTGCACTGTTTTATGGTTTTTAAAAGCTATTTTAATGTGTTCTGAGGAGAGAGTTTACTTAATTTGTGTGACAAATTCACACTTTTTTCAGCACCAATATGACACAACAAGAATAGCACCACACTTTATGAGAGTATGAAATCCATTGTTCAAAATTTATATTTTCATCTTAATTTGTATTTTTTCCAATCAGCATATGTTTGCAATTTACCTACGCCCTGAAGATGACCCGAATAAAGGTCGAAACGTCGGCAAAAAATGAAAGTGTTTTTTTAAACTACCTCATTCTTGACCGCTTCTCGCGACTTCAACAATTTATGAAACAACAGGTCACTAAGAAAGAAACAAACTAGTAAATCCATTACGTTTAGTGGTCTATTTGACCAAATTACTTTTTTAAATTAATTATTCTTTTTATGGTCTTGGTTGAAATGAAAACGTTAGTGTCACGAGCGGGATTCGAACCCACGACCTTCGGGTCAATACGCCGCAGCTCTAACCACTTGTCACTGTGTCTCAAGTGGTTCGGGCAGCGGCGTATTGACCCGAAGGTCGTGGGTTCGAATCCCGCTCGTGACACTAACTTTTTCATTTCAACCAAGAACTTATATAAAAAGAACAATTAATTGAATGAAATGATAAACTACGTTAAAAATCCCGGTTTGACATACTCTGGTAGGATGATGTTTCTAATTATTTTGGATCTATTATCACTGCACTACATATTTTGTAAAAAGGGCAAAGTGATCGGAAACGATCAAGCTATGGAAAATACATTTTACTATTATTATTTTCTTATAAGAAAATTTGTCTTCAACAGTTTTATCATACCAAATCATTACTTATATAAATTTAAACCAGATTAGAGTTGTTGGTACGTACGTGTAAGAGTAGCTATCGTTGATACGAGACATGGATGGTACACATTTGCATAATTCAAGGAATCGAGAAGAATTATTCTTCCTTCGTTGTCCGTGTCCTCGATTTGGATGGTCTTCCCGTTGCCAGCGGTGACCACATCCCCTGGTCTGACTGCCATCCCTCCAACCATGTTCTCACAAAGAGGAATAATCGCTGTAATAAAATAATATATAAATTACTATAAATCTATGATTCTAGTGTTTATATCCTTATATTTATTTATCAGCATTTCTATTTGTCTGTACAGGATTTTTGAAAGGCTCGTATTTCAATTACCGTACAGGTTTCAAAGGGATAAAGTGTGTATTGTTTACAGCTTTCCCTATAAAACGTCAAAAAAAATATGGATCGAATATCAAACCCATATACATGAAAAATATTTCAATTTAAATGTTACTGTCAACGCCCTGTGGGCTGCTCTGGTTTAATTACGAAACCATCCAAAGAGACTGGGAGTGGGTGAACATGTTTTCAGGGCAGTTGAATTACACTGTACGAACGCCAATAAAACGAAGTAAAGTTTTTAGCGGAATTATTTTTATTACACATATTTTCAGTTAATGTATATTTAAGGTATAAAAAGTCTCAAGGTTATATGTCTCCCATATTTATTCTTGACACCTTGACCAAAATTGCTTTTACTAAATGACGCATCATTTAAAAAAAATAATAAAATACTCAACATATACGTCATATAAGAGCATAAATAGAGCCATATAAATCAGTAACGTAGAATGCATTTCAAATTGTATAGTGGTTTGGTTCAATAATAATTGTTGTTATTTTCGTTTTTACCTCGTACGTTTATTGGCAGTGACATTTGGGCAATACATTTGAAAATTGCGACCACGACGGCAGCTCCAGCCATGTCACCCCTGTACTCGGACATCCCAAGACAATTTTTCAAGCAAGTCCCTCCAGAGTCGAACGTTATCCCTTTTGCTGTAACATAAATATGTACCAACGATTACATTTTCTAATATAAATTAATAAATAGAAATGATCAGTAGGAAGTGAACGATGAAACATTTTGATCTTTTTGTTTAGTATTGTAAGTTTCAGTATAAGTCATGACTATAATTTTAAGAGTAAATGAATCAATATTTCTTTAAATTCATCTCACGCAACACAGAATACAATTCGATCATTGATTACCGATAAACATTACGGGTTTGTCGTCAGTAGTGCTTCCGCAGTAGCTCAGCTCGAGTACGATCGGTTCCTCGCAGGATCCTCTGGCCATCATTAAAAAAGCGTTCATCTTTTTCGTCTCGATCCAGTCTCTTTCTCTCAGTTCGACGTCGACGCCGCACGAGCAAAGAGTGTCCAAAGCGTTCTTTAAAAAAGAACAGGTAATTTTTAGAAAACCTTATGAAGCCATATACCGGTTTGAGGACGTACTTGTGCGAACATCATCGGCGTCATTAAATTTGCCGGGGTTTCTTCCAACCTCCGGGCTATGTTTTGACTGTCGGCCTTCAACATGCCTCGATGCCATCCCTCTCTTAAAAACAAATAAAGAGTTTTGTGAGAACAAAAAAATGTTTTAAGAGATGAAATTCCGACAATTTGGGAGGAAAATGAATTCACTACCTTTAAGCCGATGTCTACTCTGTATGAACTGTTTACAAATTTATAATTTACTTAATCTTTATGTGAGGTATTGGTTGAGATAAAAAAGTCAGTGTCACGAGCGGGATTCGAACCCACGACCTTCGGCTAAATACGCCGCTTGAGCTATCGTGACTTCGATCTACTCGGACACCAACTTCCCACCTCAACCCAATCTTTCGAATTTTCCCACCTTTTTCCCATTTTTCAAGGCAGTTTAATTTCCGAGTGGATCGAAGTCACGAATAGCTCCTTTTTATAGGATATTTAATGTATAATTCAAAAATGTAGTTAAAAATTGGAACAGATGCTCTAGGTCTCGAAAAATGTAAATTTATGGCTTTTTCGAAAAAATACGGAAAAGTACATAACTTCCGACCGGATTGAGAACAGTTGGGTTGATTGCATTTTACTCTATTTAGGATGTACTGTAACCCAATTTTTTCGGTGTATTCTGGACCCCCTGTATTCACTATCCTTGAAAATTTGGAATGAAAACTCTTTATCTACTTTATGTATTTTTAATTATTAAAATAAAACAAAATTAACACACTACCTATCGGTTCCTTCAAACAGCTCTAGCTTTGGTACTACTATCTGCTCCTCCTTAGATTTATACGGTTGAAATTTCCAAATGGCGAGGGCGGCTCCTTCCGCTGCTGCCTCCGTATTCGTGAACTCTTCGACGTATACCGTGCTGATGCCCTTTTAAAAACGCAAGAATTTACCGTCTGTTCGTGAAAACAGAGCAAACCTTTGAAGACTCACCTCCTCCTGGAGGGCGTACGCGCCGATTCCAGCTGCCCACCGGATATTTTCCTTGCACATGTCTAAACTCTCGGCCTCGCTGTACCCGACACCTTCCTCGCCCAACCCGGCGACAGCGACGGAAATGAAATCGTGGTGGATGTTTGAGAACACCCTCGCGGTTCCTTTTTTAATTCCTGCGCCACTGAAAAAAAAACAACAACGTAATATATACTTTGTGTATGTACAATACATCTATTGGACTGAAACTCGCGCCCTTGGAAGTATAATATTACTTATTAACACATTAAAAAACATAATAAACATTATTGAACACACCCAACGAAAACTAAAAATATATTTATTACTCTTTTTATAATTAAGTTATCATTTTAAGCAGTGGTGGGCAAAAATTAGACATGTCTAATGATTAATGATTGATCATTCAGACCGTTAGTCATGACTGGTAGTAAGTGACAAATTTAGTCATTAGTCACCATATGTGATTGATGACTAAATTAGTCATGACTAGTAATTAAATACGAGGCATGACTAATTTAGTCACAATATAGTTAGTCATGACTAAATTTCGATAAATCATGTTCAAATGGGTGCTCAAAAAATGAAAAATACACTTCATCACTTTTAAAAAATTTTCTAACAGAAATTTATTTCATCAAAACGAAAATCCTTCAAAACCTTATTTAACAAAAATCAATCTTCCAATTATAAGTAAAACTCCGTCGTTATGAAAAGCCAAAAAATAAAGATAATGATAATAATAATAATAAAATAAAATAAAAAAAATCCTATAACAAGCTACGCTTTGAAAAGTAAATATGTTTACATAACCGATCAATGGAAAAAATATTTCTTTGAAATAAAATTTATTCCACTTAAAAGGAGAGATTTCTACATTATTTGGAAAATACACCATCTATGGATCTTGATTGTAATAAAATAGACATGTAGAATAATTATGTAAATTTGGTTTTCGTTTATGGTAACAATTTTTGAAGGTTGGCCTTGAGCACGACTCTCATCTCAAAATTTTTATCCGGAGTCGGTTGGATTTTGCTAAGTTCGTCATTGTAGCCAGAGTTGGGCCAAATCAAACTAATTCAATCATGATTAAGAATTTTGATTGAAGTTTAATCATGATTGAATTAGTCATGAGTAAATTAATCATTATATGATTTAGTCATATCTCATGATTGAATTAACTATGATTAAATCATATAATGATTAATTTACTCATGACTAATTCAATCATGATTAAACTTCAATCAAAATTCTTAATCATGATTGAATTAGTTAAATTTTGCCCAACTCTGATTTTAAGCCGATAAAGTGTGAACAATTTTTAAAAGAACTTTGACTTGCTTGATAAAAGCATTATCCAATTTTTCCCGTGCAAAAATATTTTTTAGATATAATTGACCATCAAAATTAACATCTAGTCCGGGTTAAGAAATGCGAAAAAAATTAGTTTTGGCATTTATCGTTATCTACACTTAACAATAAACGATTTCATTCAAACTAACATAATGTCGCCTAGTCGCGGATGATACAATGCCAACTCGTCCTTGTTGCGCAACAGAAAAGAAGTGGTGTAGGATAAGAGCATAGGTCAATATTTGAATAAGGATGGCCAGAAGCCGTATTCACAACGTTATTTTCCTACAAGCATCAATTATGATTTTTAAGTACTGAATCAAATACAATAGAAAAATATTTATTTAAAGAGTTTATTTTATACTTCAAATGCAATTTGAACAAACGATTCAAAGAAAAAAAATATCATATATTGTCATTTGAAGGATAATGAGCTTACTGGAGAAAGTGCTCAATAACTTTTCTCAAATAAGCCCTCACCCGGATTTCATCTAAATTCTCTCGATATATTAAAGTAGAAATGATCCATAAATTTAATAATTTCCATAACATGTTGATAAGTTAGCCAGATATTGAAGGAAATTGTTTTGGAGAAGAATCTCTTTAAACGTTTAGGCATCCTATGGCAGATTACTACCAAACTATGTTAAATAAACTGTTCACGTTAGATTTAACTCTGAAGATTTACATGAAACTCATCCTCTTTTCAAATTATAACTCTGACTAAATTTCTAATTATTAGGTTACAGTGAATTAAATTTACTTTTGAGTACAATTAACGAGGTATTAAGATAGTTTTAGTGCCTCTTAAAAAAATCAACATTTAAACCTCTAAAGGAAGTATTTCCTTACGACCTATTTTGATAAAGAATATATTATGTAGATAAGTAAAAAGTACTTTGTAAAAGCAACGCCCATTAGTACACTACGACAAATTCCTGATTTGAAACTCAATTTTATGAAGTTTTAATGGTAAATCAAGGCAAAATTTTTGTTTGTAAAGTAGCATTTAAATATATAACACAGCTAATCATATAAATTTCATCATAGTTTTCATAATCTAATTGGAAGAATAATACCATCCTTATCCCAAAACCCGACAAACCCATCAATAATGTTCTTTTTCCTACCGACTAATCAGCCTATTTCTTCTCTTATCGAAAATATTTGAGAAGGTACCATTAGATATTATTATCATGAATAAACAAACCTCTGTGAGGGGAGCTTCTTTGACTGCTTGTTGTATGAGAGTCACTTATACAAATACAACATTGTACATAATCTTTTGCTCTTAATTAATAAAAGGATTTTCCGTGTTCGTCAAGGTTCAGACTACTCTAACTAGCCTTACTACAAATTTGATCTTAAGCCAAAAGGACGAGAAACGTGATATTTTGTGTTAAATTTTCTGTTGGATTGAGTTTATTTATTTGGGTGAATATAAGGTTTGAAAAGGCCGAAGAGAGATATCAAGTAAAGACACTTGGAATAACGCAATCTGCGAACAAATTTCTGTTCATCTCCTCGTCAAGCTTTTATTCTAAAAGATGCTGAGCTGGAACGTCTGGGAACAACGGTAGCTGTTGGGTACTCTGATACGTCGATGTGAGTCAGCGAACTTGCCGATAAGGTAGAGAAGACATACTAATTTTTTAATTATTTTAATTTTCTTATTCTTAATTATATAATTACTCAATTAATTATACACAATTTTTTCGAAATGAAAAATTTGTGTCACAGGCGGGATTCGAACCCACGACTTTCGGCTATATACGCCGCTGCTCTACTTCTTGAGCAACAGTGACTTCGATCGCCCATGCTACAATCTCCTCATTTCGACTCCCCGTTTACTCCAATTGTAAATTGTGTATAATTAACAGAGTAATATATAATGAAGAATAAGACGATAAAAATAATTAAGGAGTTAGTATTAATCTGGAATCACACCTGTGAATCGTACACACTCCCGCTAACATAGTTAACAAACGTTACAATTAATTAAGGGTTTTAGTTGAGATAAAAAGTCAATGGCACGAGCGGGATTCGAACCCACGATCTTCGGCTAGATTCGCCGCTCCTCTACCACTTGAGTTATCGCGACCTCGATCCACTCGGACACCAACTTCCTAAGGCAAAAAGGAGGGAAAACTCAAAAGGCGGGGTTGAGATAGGAAGTTGGTGTCCGAGTGGATCGAGGTCACGATAGCTCAAGTGGTAGAGCAACGGCGTATCTAGCCGAAGATCGTGTGTTCGAATCCCGCTCGTGCCATTGACTTTTTTTATCTCAACTAAAAACCTTAATTAATTGTAATATATTAATTGGTCAAGCGGACCACGAAATTAGTGAAGTTAATAAAAGTGTTTATATATAATTATGCTTACAATTGTAATAAACGGGGAGTCAAAATGGGTTTGTGGCATGGGCGATCGAAGTCAAGGTAGCTCAAGTGGTACAGCAGCGGCGTATTTAGCCGAAAGTCGTGGGTTCGAATCCCGCCTGTGACACAAATTTTTCATTTCGAAAAAATTGTGTATAATTAATTAATTGAGCAGAGAAGACCGTTGGCAGCATCTGTGCACCGGGTCATCCGAAAAGGTCTTGCGCGTCAATAGCACTGTCCATAGGTGGCCCGAAAACAGTCCAAATAGCAGAAGAAATTACAACGTTATGTTGCATTATAAGCGTAGAGTTATTAAAGCTGATGCATCCCAACAAATTTTGTTGATAAAAATTGTTTAAATCATTCAATTTTTATTAAAAATTTCATCACTATGTTATAATTATTATCAAGCTTATCATTGTTGTATAGTATACGTTTAAAAGAACAATATTCATGAGACCAATTTTCGCCAATATTTATTCATTAATAATAGCCTAAAAAGAAGAGTAAAATATTCGAGTTTCGTTTCATTAAGTTTTTTATATTACTAATTGGCCATTAATCTACTATAGGGGATCTCTTTTCTTTCTTTCTTCTTTCTTTCCTTTTTTCTTAATTTCTTTTTCCTTAATTTTATCCTTATTAATTTTTTTTTATCATTATGATTATCAATTTAAATTGACATGTCCGCGTTGCGCATATTTCAAGATGGCTATTATTTTTATTTTTATTATTTTTTTTTTTTAACGAGGGTTCGCAACTGCTGAGGTCATATCAACCCTCAGGGTGCCGGTGTTTTTGAAAAAAAGCCGATTTGTCAGTATGTTGGTTCGAACGCAGGGCCGCTGGATTCGAACCCGGGACCTACCTTACAGTGATGAGCGCCGTGTCATTGCCTAAACCGTTGCGGCTACCGACGCCCCCGGAGGGCTGTTATTGTTCTCGATTCCGCATAGGTCATTGAAAGTTATAGTTCTGTGAGGGTTATAGTTAAAGTTTGTTGAGAAAGTTATAGTTTGTTACAGTGCATTATCTTATGTTCCATATCCTCAAGGATGTGACATGTCGAGCTTAACAGGGTTTCCCTAACTCCAAAACGATTCAGAAAAAAAAACCAAGCCCCGTTACATCGTAGCCTGTTGATTATAATACTTTTTTTTGTTATATCTGTGCGGCGGAACCAAAGAATTTTGGAGATTTGGGGTTTCGCTGTCTTAAAACCTCCTGATCGGGTATCTTCCCAATCTTTGTGCCAATCGTCGGTGCATCATGAAGGGGGTTCGGAATTTCTAACAGATTTTCCTCTTTTGTGGCACTCTTTGCTAGCTACCGACTATCTTTATTTTTATTCCTGAATGTCCTCTAACCCAACAGAAATAAGTCGTCACACCTTTTTCTTTTGACAGAATCTCTCTCTAAATAGTTAACGATTTGTTCTACAATGTAGTTGCTGCCTGACTTTATCCAGAAATTTCTAATACTTCGGGAGTCCAACAAAATACACAACATTTCTGGCAGAGTTTATTTCTCGAAAGTGTCGAACGATTTTAGAATAAGTTATGCTTATATTAGTTATTCTGAGTGCATGTTTGAAGGGAGTTTGCATTTTTTCCTAACTTTAATTTAGGGTCATACATTGCGCAGCCTACCATACAATTCTTCATCGACCGGGGGATTGTTTGTTTCTGCGGGGAAATAATAGTCGGGCAAAAGCGAAACATTTCATAATATTAAGTTCGTTTCATGAATATTTGAAGAATAATAAAATATAATTTCCATGGCCTTCTATAAAGCGACATATGTTTTAGCATCGGCTGAATCGTCTTAACCAATGTTGACATATTTTTGTTGTTGCCAAGAACGATTGAATGAAATGTACCCAGTGAAAAACAGTTCTTCCGCTGGACATCAATAACAAGGAGCTACAGACTCCACTCAAGTCGGATACTTACGACTGTACCAGAAAACCGAGGAACATTCACACAAGACTTGAAAGCCAGCAACTTAACAGAAAACTTGGGAAGGCTTAAGACGAAGACTTTTAGAACTGAAATGTGTTTGATCGTTAAAACTTAACTAACTCAATACAGGGCATTACTGCGACCACTTTGGACTCATGGACTGGCACTGTGGTATTCCTCCAATGTACCCAATATCCATCACATTTTTTCAAATAAAAGCGCTCAGACAAATGATCAAAACGCTTACTACGTTTACCTGACCATCCGGAACGACCTTAACATTTCTATTGTCAACTAATTGATCCCATCACACATCGAAAAGCTCATACCAATTTTTGACCCATCCAAAACCTATAGCCAAAGCTCGATATTTTTCCATCTTCAGGATCAGCCACGTCGCATCTAACGACTCTCCATTTCTCATTAAAGTATGCCAGAAGAATTAAGAAGGGAAATTTTATTCCATCAACTTAATGTACCACTACGGCAAACCATCCTAATATGTCTATAATAAAGTTAAAGGCTGGAGTTAATTTTCTACTAGCCAGGGGTAGTAGATAGGCCTCGCCAAAAATAATACTAAACTGCTCCTAACATAATGATGCTTTTTCCATGCTCTATGCGTGCGTGCGTGAGTGTGTGTGTGTATGTGGGTGTGTGTGTGTGTGTGTGTGTGTGTGTGTGTGTGTGTGTGTGTGTGTGTGTGTGTGTGTGTGTGTGTGTGTGTGAGAGAGAGAGAGAGAGAGAGAGAGAGTGAGAGAGAGAGAGCGAGAGAGAGAGAGAGAGAGAGGGAGAGGGAGAGAGAGAGAGAGAAAGACACAGACAGACAGAGACGAGAGAGAGAGTGAGAGAGATAGAGAGTGGAGGAGTGATTTCAAAATTATAGGTTAAAGAAATACTTTAAATGTAATCATTTTTACGTGATTAGGGCTAGAGAGACAATAAAAAAAGATATAAAACGCAGAAAATATTTTCCAAATAGCACAGCCCATAGAAGTATGGGCTGGTTTCTCTTAACATATATCCTCCGGGGATAGATCTAAGTTCTTGCCATTCTGTCGTTTAGCGACCAGCAGCAAGCTCATATATTATGTTGATGAGATTTTACCCTGTTATGTTGTTCTGTGTTAAAGATTAATGTTTACGTCAAGCATTTCGGAGCAACTGAAACATGTATATATTTAAGGAATGTGTAGACTTTCATCAGTAAGTCAATTCAGCCGATCTGGCCTAAACAATGTGGAGAAGGATCACAATTTTTGAAAGATCCACTGAATCGTCATAAACAGGCAAATCACACTTAAATACATTATTGATGGCTATATTTAAAGATAAATACAGTTTTTTTTACTCAGAGTTTTAGGAACAAAATATTAAAACATGTTGACATTTTCTGAAATACTAGATAATTTCTCTGGCTTGTGATAAATAAACTCTTTTAGTTATTCGACCTACTGAATATATTTAGTTTTTATTCACTATTATGTTTATTACAATTAATTACCCTTTCAATAGCTGTAACAACTTTCCTCCGGTTTGTTCGTCGATTGCGGTAGCACGTGGAGTTAATTTAAGCTCACCTTCGGCACAACCGTCATAAGCGCCGACAACCACTCCTTTCTAAAAAAAAAAATCATTAGTTTAAGTCATAATAGATAAAATGACATTTTAATTCCAGTGCATATTGTTGATTTTAAAAAATAAAACGTCCCATTCAATGAGAGAATATTACATAATGTATTTAAATTAAAATCTACCATAAACATTTATTCACTTTTGAAAAATATGAATTTCTTCTAGTGCAATATCAGAGTATATAGGATATAAAGGAACGATCTGATTTGTAGAAAATGTGAGAACAATGAATAATCATGTACCTATTGTACATCAGAGATTCATTGGATTTGGATTCGTCTTATTATTACTATTCAGAAATCGTGAGATGCAGTCTGGTGTGATGTAGGTTTCAGAAAAACATTTTCTTCAAAATCCAACATATACAAACATAAAACAGCAATATCTCACTGGCACTCTCAACACAACACGCAAGACTGGCACAATTACACAGAAGACAAAAACTTTGAGTGAGTAGAAATACTTTGATTGAATATAAAAAATATATTTTCATTGCATAAATTCTCTTTTTTCCATATCCTACATGCATTTGTTAAATGTAAATAATGTTTATAAATCCCAGGCCCTGACGATGATCTCAATAAAGATCGAAACGTTGACACGACAAAGAAAATGTTTTTCTGAAACCTACATCACACCAGACCGCATCTCACGATTTCTGAATAATTATCGATTAACAGTCACTAACCACCACACATTCGTCTTATTTTTAATCTATTGATTTGAATTTTCATTGAACTCATTAAACTGAGCACTCTCAACATGACAGACAAGAATGACACATCTACATGGAAAACAAACATTGAGCCCTGAAGATGACCTCATTAAAGACCGAAACGTTGGCACCATAAAGAAAAAGTTTTTCTCAAACCTACGTCACACCAATAGCATCTCACCTCCAAATAATTATTTTCATTAAATTTGTTCTGTAATATTTTTTGCCCTTTGGTGTATTGAAGACTACACACTATGTGTAAACATTTTATTTGAAGGTATATTTTAAAACTCAGAGTATGTTTTTTCGTAATTGACAAATTTCCTTATTCGTGGTGAAATGTGATGACTGTTTTGAAAGTCTTTCCAAAAATGGATTCTTCCTTTTCGATAGCCATATATCTAAACGCTCACATTTAACACTGACTGAAGAGTCTTTTAAAGAATAACCAAAGATCTGGGTATATAAATAGACGATAAAATATTTCACAATCATTGATATCTGGTAGATTAAAATTTACGGCGCAAGGAAAATGCAAGTGAATCTCTGAGCTGGAAATTTAATAAGTTTACAAAAATATGTTATTTCAAATTGCTCTTATGCCAGAAATTGGCAGAAATTAAATTTACAAGGTACACTTTCAGAAACCGAAGAAAAACAGAATAAAAAGATTTGACGAACATAAAAATGATCTAAAGTGAGAAAATGTTTGCCATCTCTTTGCTGATACCAAAACAAGGAGGGAGGTTATGTACGTATATTTTTTTAAATATTTACTTACTTTTCCAGATCCCAACCCACAATCTGAGGAAGCCCTGCTGAATCCCTTTATAGCTGCACCTCTCACTCTCAATAATTTGGCTACTTTGATCATTGTGCGATCAATTTTACCTTCATAACTAGAAAATCTACGTAAATAAATTAAAAATATAAGAAAATTTTTTTAATATGTTTATTTAAAGCAGATGATTTTCATTATTTTCGCTGGCTATAATTGCCGGATTTTCTGCCCGAATTTTTCTTAATTTAAAACAATTCTGGAGATCTCTTGTCACCGACTAAACCATTGAATCGAAATCTTCGTTCAGGCAGGATTAATGTTTTGAGTCTCTAAAGATAATTAAAAATCTTGTTATTTCTATTAAATAACTCTTAAATAATTTTTTTTGTTAAATTTTTTTTCAATTGTTCATCCAACACTTGGTGAAAAACCAATCTAAAATAAAGAAATTAGGAGGATATTGCATTAAATATTGTGTTTTTATATGCTTTAATGAATGTACATACGCATTCCTCTTGAAATATTATGGTGAGTTGTGCATGGAGATTAAACTTGCAGTTTTATCCTCGCAAATAATCGTGATCTACCTTCTTGCTTTTAAGAGTTTTCTTGGGACGTCGCTTTTCTGCAAAAAAGTTCATCCTCAACAACTGGTTTCTGTGTAAAACTTTATCAATTCACCAGGTACACAGGTGTGCAGTCAACCTCTAAAGATGGTGAAATCTCTAAACGCATATAACAGAAAAAATCCAGAGTTATTAAACATATCAGGATGATCGGGGAGAATCTTACTTTTCCCAGTAATATTCCTCAAATAGGTACTGGTTTAATTAACACCCCCAATCTTGTTTTAAATATTAAAATTTCAAAATCTAATACCCCTAACTTCACAACACTTTGACCTTAGCCAAAATGGCTGAGAAGCATAGTGTTAAATGTTCTGTTAGGAAGAGTGTATTTATTAGCGTGAATGTATGGTGTCAGACGACCGATGAGGAATATCAAGTAGGAGTCCTTCAAACTGGGCAATCGATGGAGGATTCATCCTAACTTGTATGCACCGACTCCCTGAGTGCACTGTGGGCTGTGAACAAATTTCGGTGATCTCATCATCAAGCTAAAGAATGCTGAGTTGGATCGTCTCGGAACAATGGTAGTTGTTGGGTACTCGGATAAATCAGGCTGGAAGTCAGCGAACATGACCATAAAGTGGAGAATAATAATTAATAATAATAACTAAATAATAACTAACTAATAAATGGAAAAAGATTATTATTATTATTACTTTTCTTGCCCCTGTCAAAAAAAAGAAAATAATAATAATAAAAGCGAAAACTCAAAACTTTAACAATCTGGCTGTACCACCCCTAAAAACCTACTGCTTTTTAGTTCTAACACTTTTTTGCATATGTTGGCTCACAGTAATTTAAGTTAGTTTGTTTGCTTTACTGATAATAGTTATCAATAAATGACAATAAGGGTATTCATTTTTTTGTGGTAGTAAAAGACAACGTACAAACCTAACTAACAAGAGTATAAATATCCAGGTAGTCCAATAAATATATCCAAAAAATTGCCTTAAATTTTGCACGTCTCTTCTGTTGCGCCACCCCAATGATCCATTTCTTAATCGAATCATCGCATGATCAATCATCATATGATGAGAAATGGATTCTGTATGATAACAGGAGGCATACAGGTCGGTTGTTGGACAAGGATGAAGCACCAAAACACTTCCCGAAACCAAATCTGCACCCAAACAAGGTGGTTGTTGGTGATGTACTGCCAGGGTTGTTCACTATAATATTTCGCATTATGGTGAAATTATCACAGCAGAGAAATATTGCCATGAAATTGACAAAAAGCACAGGAAACTGCAACATTAGTCCAGTGTTGGTAAGGGGCTGATCCTTCTTCAAGAAAAGGCCAGGCCACATGTCGCAATGCCAACCCTGCAGAGACTAGGATGTGAAAACTTACTGCACCCTCCAAATACACACGACATCTTGCCTAAAGAAGACCTCTTGCAAAGAAAAAATAATTTTCAGTCTAAAAAAATGTGAAAATATTCATAAAATATTATCAGCATAAATTTAAAAAAAGAATGTTTTCATCCGGGATTTATGTTCAATGAAATTTCAGTCAATCTATCCCTTTAAACGGAATAAGGCAGACATCAGTTCCATATAGAGAGCAAGTAAGCATGCAACGCAATACAACAATTATTCTATGAGTATTGCAGACAGTACAATACGAGAGCCGTTGATATGAAGAGGGGATAGGCAATCTGTACTAATGGGCTTATTGGAAATTAATAAGGACTGGGATTTATTAGTGTTTAAAAGGTGCGCTTACTTCTTGACCAATGATTGAGAGAATGAAGTTCACAGTTGAGCAAAGATGTTGCTTGTAGGACATTAAATGTCATCAGCAAGATGAAATTAGAAGAAATAAAGAACTAATGAAAGATCATTTAGAACCATGGAAAAGAGAAAAGGTCCAAGAATAGAGCGTTGGGGTACACAAGCAGAAATTCTGAGAGGAGATAAGTTAGATTTGAAGCTTTCAATCTCTGAGTTAAATGAAAGAAGGCAGCCATTGGACAATTGTTCTATGAGTATCGCAGACATTATAACATACCATGAATTTTTGTAACGATTTTGTTAAGCTTGTTTGGTCCATTGTATTATCTTATACAACAAATTGTAAGAATGAAACATAAAAATTCTAAAAAGGGTCTTTAATTTTAATAAATTTGGAATTGAAAAGAAAGAAAAATTTCTTTGCAAAGAAAAAAAAATTTTTTTCAATCTAAAATAAATGTGAAGGTTTTCATAAAATATTATCAGTATAAATTTAAGAAAAGAATGTTTGCATGCGTGACTTATTTACAACGAAATTTCAGTCAATTTATCTTTTAAATGGAAGAAGGCGGGAATCGTCCACATAGAGAGCAAGAAAGTATGCAATGCAATATGACATTTGTTCAATGAGTATCGCAGACAGTATAACATATCATGATGTGTTTTAACCATTTTGTATGTAGCTTGTTGTTTTCCACTGTATTATTTTATATAACTAATTGTAAGAATGAAACATCAAAATTCAAAAAAAGGGTCTTTAATTTTAATAAATTTGGAAGAGAAAAGAAGAAAAAAATTGTTGGGGATTTATCGAAAACATTTTCCAGTTTTGAAATATTTATGAGTGGGTGATTAAATTGTGAAATCCAACAATAATTTAATCTGGATGTGCTACGCTCTAATTTGTTGTCACCTGTTTTGTTAGTATTGGTTTATTTAGAATGTGGTGGACCGAGTGAGTAATAGGTTATGTAAGAGCTAACATCACTTCCAATTAGTTTTATTTCCTTGTATTGATTAGCCCAATTATTAGTTCCTAGAACAAAACAAATAATTAATTAGACATTTCACCTCAGCGAGGGTAGTATGCCCAAAGGTCCTGCTCCGATCTTGTCTTATTTATTGGTTCGTGATATCCCTCCAACATCAATATCTTTTAAGCTGAGAGCTTTTGCCGAAGGTTCTTCTTTTTCTCCACCTGTGCTGGGGTTGTCGTCACTGCTCTGCCTCTTTTTCCCAATGAATTTTCTTTGGGATCTGCTTAAGAAAATTCACAACTGCTTCTTCCTTGATTAATCCACCCAGTAGTCATGCCCTTCTTTCTAAAATCGAGTAAAGTAAGTTTTTTTGCAGGTTATTGTCTCTTATTTTCTGAAGTATTCTCAGCCTTTTTTCTGATTTATTTAGTGTTTCTTAGGAAGGTGGAGCTGTCAGACCCTAAAAGACCCTTCGGGCCTTGCCAGAGTCTGTTTGCTCCAGACCTTCTGAAACGACCATAGGTACATCTTGGGATGAAACGGAAGGGCTTTAAATTAGTATCTCTTCTGTCTCTTCCAAGCTGCAGTTTTCTTTCTGAGACCAAATAGTCTCTGTTTAAAAGGAGAATCCCACTTAGCTACCCCTATGACTACTCGATGCAATCGCATGGATTCTAATATTGAGTTTTATTAGAATCCTTGTGATTCTTACTAGAACTGTCTAAAGGGGGTTCCCTCTTCCAGTTTTGTATGCTCTATTGCTAGTTTACGCTTTTGAACCTAAGGAATCATCTTAGGTCTTAAGCGCAATTTTCAATTTTTACAGAGAATTATCGACCAGTGATGATTAACAATTGATGATTGGGATCAGGTAAGTGGTTCAAAATGAAGTAGTCATTTCTTTTTTGACAATCTTTTGGCTTTTTATTAAACCTTCCTCAGGGCACTACAGAAGAATAAACATAATTATTTTATTGGCATAGTCTCGCACTAAAACAACGTTTGCAATGCACTTATGAATACTTAATTAAAAATAAAAGTGGCACATTCAGGTACTATGTGTTGCTTTTATTTTAATTTTTATTTATGTTTTTTAATTATCCGTAAATTCACTGCAAACATTGTTTTATTGCCTATACCATTAAAATAATCATTTGTAGAGCCCTGAGGAAGGCTTAATAAAAAGCCGAAAGCTTGGCAAGAAAGATACGATTAATTCATTTTGGACCACATACCTGGTCTCAATCATCATTTGTTAATTTTCAATTTGCTCTGTCACCAAGTTGGGTTCCACCTTCTTGGAGACCCCCTACTTTTTGCAAGTTGTGATGAGAGAAGATTGTCTTCTAGCTCTTCTTTTTGATCTTCATGATCACAACAAGATCCTCAGCACAGTAACACCTGTGAAATTCATCCTTGTCACACTCCCTTAACACCAAGGATTGTGGCCAGATGTGGTTATTTTGTCTTTTATGATTAATAACATAAAATATCAAAATGTCATTTTTAATTTGGAAAATTTAAAATTTTTTAAATTTGTAGGAAGAAGTTATCGTATGGTGAATAATTTAAATATCAGAAAACTACAAAACTAATATGTAGATGTAATTTTTCCAGGGTATGGTATACTGTGCCCTTTAAGGGCTATTGTATCCCCTGTTCTCTGCCTAAAGCACATCGGTGAGTCCTATTTCATCAAGAAATTTGATTAATAGGCCCGGTTTCAGTGGTTGAAGCTCTTCTATGGTCACATTATGCATCCCAAAACATTTCCTCCTTCGGGCTAATATAGCTCCGCAGTTTGTTAGTAAATGTGTTGGTGTCTCTTCTGCCTCCTTGCAGAATCTACATGTGCCATCTTGGATTGTTCCAATTTTCTTTAAGTGTCCATTTAGTCTGCAGTGTCCTGTTAGGATTCGCAGTCTGTTCCTGCTTCCTTTGACACATTCTGTGATTTCTTTCTTACCAAAATTGGTTAGAAGATTCTTGGATTGTCTATGTCCAATGAGTGAATTCCATTGTTCCTTCATTTTCTTTTTGTCCTTCTGTCTGAGATATTCGTTAATAGTGTGGATTCCTATGCCACAGAAGGGTTCGGGTCCTATCAGCGGTGTGGCAGCCCCTTTCCTTGCAACGGTGTCCGCTTTCTCGTTGCCTTTACAAAACTAATATAAAAATACAAATTATTTGAGATTTATCAAACATTTCGCAGTTTGTCTTTTTTTAGTGACTGATCATTTAATTGGTTTCTTGTCCCCTTCTCATGAATCAAACAAATAATTACTCAGTTTAATATTAATTAGCTCATACAGACATATTTTGAATTTTTGACTTCCTCTTTATCTATTTTTTTGATTTATCTATCTAATCTTATTTATTTATTTGTTATGAGGGTTCGCATCAGGAGAGGTCATATCAACCCCTCAGGGTGCTAGTGT